GTTTAGGGTTTAGGGGCTTCAGAGTTCGGACCTTGCAGTTTTGAGCTTTGGGGCTTTGGACTGTAGTGGTTTACAGGCTCTTGTAGATCTTGGTTTACGGACTTTCGGCCTTGGACACAACCGAGGGCTCTTGGCCCAAACCGAAGCGTAAGCCTGAATCTCCCTCCAAGTAATTCAGCCTCAGAAGCCGGGAGACCGATGGTAAATTGAAAAAACCTTGCCATGCAAAGCAGATAAGGCAGTGCACCAAACCAACTCTCAGACCTGTCTGAAACTTCTCGCTGCGAACTGAATGGCTGATGGAAACCCGAACGAGCCTTGTGAAGCGCAAGGCAGCTGGGACAAGAACACAAAGAAATGCTACAAGGCCATGGCGGCAAATCAGCAATATGCCGATATGCTCTAGTGAATACTCTGGGTCCTTGCTGAGGACTGGGGAATGTCACAGAACCCAAACTGCCACGCCGAGGAAAGCCTAGAGCTAAGTGACGCCGAAGTTCCAAAATTATGGCTATGGTAACTTAGATTAGGCAAGATAAGGCCGGGCCACCACTTGCAGATGCCGCACTGGAACCCAGCTCCTTGGCAGAAGGGATGGCTGCGCTGCCCGCGATACGTGGGCAGATATGTTCTGGACCCTCCATTTCTGACACTCTCCCTCTTCAATTTGTGGAAAGGGGGATATGTCTACTCTGTCGAAGCAGTATTCCTGGGGATTTGCATGCTTCCGAGGGAACGGATCAGCATCAGCGGAATCATTACGTCTTATTGTCGATCCCTTTGCGGGCCAGTGGTGCTTGCAGACTCAGCTGCCCTTTAGCAGTCGCCCGGGGATAGCTGATCCGGCTAGGCAAGCAAGACAATCAGGAGACAAGAAGTCACTGACGAGTCGCTGCGAGCCATGCATGCCATGACAGCAGAGCACTTTCTTGCGTGATTGCAAAGGCTCGTTTGGCCGTGGAGCCTAAACTTCAAACCCTTGCCTAAACTCACCCGCGCAGCTCTGAACCCTGCCCTCACTCTTTGACGCCGAGTAACGAGCACCAGCCCCCTGCGAGATGACGTCAGAAGCTAAGTTCGCAGGTGTCCCTTTGCCTCGGCGAGGAGAACTGAGAATGCGATTAAATGAGCGATAATCAGAAAAAGAGTATGCAGGATCCATAACACTAAGAATACTAAGAGCAGTTGCCTTATTCCGATTATGACGTAGGGATTAGGGCTTTGGGATTTGGGTTGAAGGCTTGCGGGAGCATGTGTGCGTATTTGTAGATGAGGTTTTGGGCTTAACAGCCTTGGTTTGTCTAGAGCTTCAGGAGTCTCAAACCCATGCATCTGTGCCCAAAGCCCACAGCTAGCCAGATGAGTCTTTTGTCAGGTTGTAGTGCCACGGCTGATGCCTGAGCCCACACGATGGACCTTTAAAGTAGGATGACGGCACGTCCACCCTTTCTACTGTCGGCTGGGCAACGTCTCACTAGAGCCCTGGTTCTATAGCACCGAAGAAAATCTGGGATCCATGTTGGAAGCCATGAAAGAACCAGGAATTTCTCAATCAGGCTCCTGCATTATGGCCTTTGTCTATCTGGCTTTTCCTACAGCGACAACCCTTCCTTCAAAATTCATCTCAAGATAAGCTCCTGGCTGGAAGGAGCCCTCTGCTCTTAATAGAAAGCTCCTGATGACAAGTACTTAAAGGATCATGGGACTTAGTAAGTAGGGTTATAAGTAGGGTACCTATACTTATAACCCCAATTAAGGGACTTATAACCTTACTTACTAAGTCCCATGATCCTCTAAGTATCCCCAAAAAGCTCGGCTGTACGGTTGGATTGTGCTGAGACCTGCACGCTGGCCCTTGCCTTTCCCTTTGCCTTTCCGGCCCTGGCAGGCACAGAAGCCATGAACGTTTTCGGGGGTTTAGGGTTTCGGATTTAGGGAGAAGGGTTCAGGGGGTTTAGGGTTTCGGATTTAGGGAGAAGGGTTAAGGGGGTGTAGGGTTTAGAGTATCCAGAGACTCCGCAGCCGCACAGGCTGGCGGTGCTCCTCGTCATTTCCCAGTGCCTACACCCAGCATCCGGCCTCGAAGCTGTGAGCACATACCTTTACTCACAGACTCATTGATGCGTTCCTTGTTTTAGTCTTGAAGCATTGGGAGTGTGCTCATGGTATGTACTCCCTCAACCCTAAACCCTGTGGTACTCATGTCGGCAGGGGCCTGATTCTGGCCGCACTCGGCGATGGTCTGCTGGAGCAGCTCTTTGGCCTTCACGATGGGGGCAAGGATCAAAAAGCCTTATGTTGATACTTTTTACACGCTTTCGACGAGTGGATGATACCAGTAATACTATATAAAACCATATTCAACTGTAAGATACCCTTAACGGGGAGTTCGCTTACAAACCCCATCGGGTCTTGTGTTCACCAGCTAGAGCGAGAAGCGTCTGCTCCAAATCCAGGGACGACCAAGACCAAGTCTTGGCCTTTGAACCGAAGGAACTCTTACCAAACAAGGCCAGAAAGGTCGTGGTGTCCTCGAGCCTTGATACGGGCTCCTCCTCTGCGTCTAAGCCCGAATCACTTCAATACGTCCCTCAACTCCCAAACCTGCAATCCTTGACTCTCACTCGAGCCTGCTACCTTGCACCCAGTAGTCGTGTGATTCTTCAGCTAAACAAAGCTCCGAAGTGAAGCCGCACCCGGCCTTGGCTACGGCTTCTGCCGGCCCGCTGATGAGGCAGGGGCGCGACAAGGTGAGGGACAGGAAACCTTCGAAAATGGTCTCAGGTTCCACTTCGATTTCGGGTACAGTATGGGCTTCAGGCAGTCATGGTCAGGATCATATCTATCACCGGAACGGATAAGCTATGGCCGATGTCTTGCCGCTTGAGGCCTGCTTGAAGAAGCAGTATTGTAAAGTGGAATTCGGGATGAAGGAAGCGAATCCTTCGTTAAGCAACATGTCTCAAAGCATGGCAGGGTTCATGATGTCTCCTGAGAAGGGGTCAACAACTTCTACCTAGACTTTCCATGCACGTGACCATACCACTATGGATTCACATGCGAAAAGAAAAGCAAACCTGTTGTGCTGCTTACGCCCAATTCATCATAAGTATGTGTGTGTGTGTATATATATATATTATGCAATCCTCTGGGCATCTCTTGATGTCGGAGTGCCCGTGAGCGCCGAATAAGCGGCGGTTGACCGGTAACACATGTATCCATAACTGCTGGCAATCCACCTCATCCAATCAGTCCTCTGCATCCCTGCAACATGATGTCGCGATCTCGGAAGCCCATCATTCCAACATGGTGGAGCTCATTGGGCCAGCAGCCGTCATGAGAGTCGGATACTGGGTGTACGTGCATAAGGAAGGGGCCTTCATGATTCGACTGGGGTTTTGGACAATGGGTATATGTGGACTCTAGGGAATATGATTTCTCATCAGACTCCCCCCCGCACCACCACATCAAGCTGCTGGATTCAGAGTGTGTGGACCCGCCTGCATCGCCGTTTTGCGAATCCTCGTCACGCTGGAAGCACATCCGCGCACCGGACCTCGCAAAATGAGCCGTTTCCTAACCTTTGGGGCTTTGGGGATAAAGGGTTCTTCGGGTTTAGATAGGCTTCCGATCTTCTTTTGCGGATTTCGCGCCACGATAGTTGCCAGGCCCCAACACAGGGATCTCACGGATCTTGCTCGGAAACTCGTGAGCCTGATTGCTGGTAACCGGGTAGGCAACCTTAGACCCGTCCAGGAAGGACAGTAGCCTTGCCTTTTTCGGCTGCTGTCACCCCTGCGTCCCAAAGAAAACTACACCAACTACCAAGACCCGGGACTCGGAGCCCTGTAACCTTCGACCTGGTCGGCCACATACCAACAAATTGGCAAACTCGAAAGACATGACGAAACAAGTGGCCAAAGCCGTTTCCTGAACACCAAACTCCTCGAAGCCTCGGAGCTTAATCCTAGCACCCTATGCCAACCAACCCGGCAGCCTTCTTGAAAAATGCCAAAATCCCCCAAGCTCCAGAGTGCTGGATTAAGTTTAAGCAACGATAGACGGAATTCCGCTAGATTCCCCCTGTTTCCTTTTTTCGAGCCATCTTAACCTGCAAGCGACCCTAAGATGTTCTCCAATAAACCCTGAACCTTAAACCCTGAACACTACCTTAAACCCAGCGACCCTGAGCCTTGACACCCTAAACTTCAAACCCCAAACCTCAAACATAACCCCCCCCCCTTCTCAACAAGCCTAAACCCTAAACCCCAAAGACAAAGACCCTAGAACCCGGGCTCCACGCTCCGCGGCCATGGCTTTGATGGTAGCGCCCCCAGAGCCGATCACACCACCCACGACCTCGAGACTTCTCCGGAGATGCACACGAGGGATCACAAATCGCAATCCTACAGCTCTATAAATGCCATATAGGCCAACATAGTGTAACTTCATACAATACAACATCTTATGATAATGCAATATAAACCAATCACATATATCATATATAAGAAAAGATAATGCCATACAACGCAATGTAATGTCACTATAACATACCAGAATGTACTATAGTATCGTATACGATCATCCTACATCTTACATTACATGTTGTATGGCATCACACTAAACCTAAACGCTTAAGCCCTAAGCCTGTCTGGTGCTTAGTAGGGAATGGGGGAATGGATCCCTATGATAGTCCCTTAAGGTCCCTTGTAGTAGTCCCTATAACCCATTCCCCCATTCCCTACTAAGCACCAGACAGAAGCTGCAAATCCCCCAACCCTAAACCCTAAACCCTAAACCCTAAACCCTAACCCCTAAACCCTAAACCCTAAACCCTAAACCCTAAACCCTAAACCCAAACCCCTTCTACAAACCGCCCGGCCCGCGCCTCCACCGGCACGTCCACCGACTCGTGGACCCACTGCGCCCCCTTGACCTCCAAAGGCTCACACTGGGTTTTAGGGTTTAGGGTTTAGGGTTTCAGGGTTTAGGGTTTAGGGTTTAGGGTTTAGGGTTTAGGGCTCAGGGTTCGGGGAGTTTGGAAATTTTGGGGGTTATAGCAAGGAAGGGTCATTTCCCAGTTCATATCACCACACACCCCTATACCCCACCCTACGCTTTTACACCATTTCTAAACCAACCTGGGTTGAAGTAATTTCCAGCTAGCGGCTACTGCTTTCTCCTTCTGGTATGGCTCTCGAAATCGTGGAGGTGAGCCAAGCCAAGTACCGAACGCAGCAACCTCTTAAAACCTGAGCCCTCAAATCCTAAACTGGCATGTTCTAAGCTTCTACACTGGACTCTGAAGTCTCCGAGACTAGGCAACTTCGTCCTGAACCTCAGGCTACCGCACGCCCAACGCTCACACTCTCCTTGACTGGATCATTGCATTCAAAACCAGAAAGAGACAGAGAGAGAGAGAGAGAGCGCGGCTTTCAAACCAAGAAAGAGACAGACAGAGAGAGAGAGAGGCTGCGGAATACAACAACCCTAGCCGCCCTAGCCCCACAATGCAAAAAGCATGTAGCAGTCACAGCTCTTCTGCTGCCACAGTGGCGGACTCTCGGCCACCGTCAGTGCCCTTGGCCTCGGTTTGGAAAGTTTGGAGTGTCCTTACTATAGTAAGTACTCATGAAGGCAAAGCCTAAACCGCAGCCCTGTGCTTGCGTGGTCGTCCGTCCGCCGAGCGACTTGGCGCAGCGCCAGTTCTGCCTGCAAGCCTGGCGCTGTGATTCAAGCTTTCAGCTCTCGGAGAGTTGAGTTCAGGGGTCCCATGCGAAGCTCAACACTAAACCCTATAAGCCCTATCCCTTGCTGAACCCACAACCTTGAACTCCAAATCCTTCATCCTGAGCCCTGGCCTGAACCCTATCGTTTTCGGCATGAAGCTTCTCTGCCCTTCGCACAAAAGCGCAGGAGCCTTGGAGAGTCTCGTCATCGCCGTCGAGCTCGGCCTCGAACCGAAAGGACTAAAATAGGGGCCGGAGTGAAAAATCAGGGCTCCCTGCTCTTAGCATTGGATGTATCGGTTTGGATTGTAGATTTTAAGGCTTGGCCTATTTATCTCTATCTACTCTATCCATCCATCAATCTGTCCGTCTATCCATCTACCCATCTATCTACCTATCCATCTACCGGTGGATCTGCCTTTCTACCTATCCGACCGGATGACCTGCCTACGAACCTACCTAGCTGCCTACCTTCTTGCCTGCCTACCTCCCTATCTGCCTACCTACCTATCCGCCTACCTACATATCTATCCTTCCTTCCATCTATATCTAGCTATCTATCTATCCCTATCTCTCCATCTCTCTCTATCTCTCTATCTCTCTCCATCTCTCTCTATCTCTCTATCTCTCTATCTCTCTATCTATCTATCTCTCTATCTATCCATCCATCCATCTACCTATCTATCTAACCATCTATCTACATAGAGCACGTGTATATATAGATATATACATTTTCCATTCGGGAGCGAGAGAGTCTGAGTTAGACGCACGCCTAGCACATGAATTCAAGTGAAACATCCAGGGAATTAGGACGGGGTGTGGAAGCCGGACTCGACACACACGAAGCCAAGCCCCTGGATCCAAGGCCGCACACAGGCAATAGAATTCCATATGCCTGGACAAGACAAACACACTGGCTGTTGGGTGGCCTGAGTCGCGCATTCAACCACCTTACGGCAAGCAGTTTCAACCCAGCCAACGAGTTCGCTGGCCTGCTTGGGGGGCAGGCATGTAGCCTGTGTCAAGTCCATGTGCCATTTGGGCGGCGCCACCAAATCGGTGTGGCAAACCTGACCTTGGAGATGCATCTGCATACCTGTAGGAGTGGTCCAAAATGGTACTCCATAGTTATCCTTCCTAGCCTGGGTGGCGCTAGGGAACGTCTCAGCAGTGACCGCAGGGTCAAGGAGCAGGAGCATGTTTTCGGCCACCTCCTGATGCCAGGCACACTGCTGATGGCGGTCTCTCCAAGTGCGGACCGTGTGCCGAAGCGTATCGAGGGGCTCGATATGGTCGGCGATGGTTTCCCAAACGCGTTCCTCAGGCTCGTCATAGAGCTCCTCGAGATTGGCAAGAAGCGTTGGGCAGTGCTGCACGTCGGCAACACCAGCAGGCTCGTCGGTCCACTGCCCTTCCACCGGTTCGGGTGGTGCCTGAGGATGCAAAGGGGGTGCAAAGTCCCCTCCAGTGGGACGGAATGAACCCCATCTGAAGGTACAGGCTGGAACGGAGACTAAATGGCGTCGCAACCTGCCCAAACTGCCGAACGTGAAGCCGCACCCCTTACAGACATTGCCTATTGCGAGCAAGTGGGCTTTGGATCGGTACCCATGTTTGCGCGCGGCATGTCCAGCCCATGCGACGCGCGTGGCGAAGGCTCGACGACAGGGGATACAGAGTTCGTCACTCTCTGGCGGGGGTGGGTTGGCCGCACGGTTGGCCCCCATTGCAAGGCTATGCAAACCTCTATGAAGGCCATCAAGTGCCGCAACCATTGTGATACGCAGGATCTCGAGCTTACACGCGGTGCGAATTATGTTCCTATAAACACCTGGCCTGTGTAACATGAGTGCTTGCCAGCTCTCCCATGAGGTGTCCGGGTCCTCAACGGAGGGTAGCCTGTGCATCCACCTGTACGCCCACCGCAAGTCGGAGGCAAGCAGATCACAGTATGACCTGTCAGCTTTAATACAGGCCCACAACTGTGGTGGCCCCGCTGCAACAAGCTGTCGTAGATACTGGAGCCTGGCACGGCGCAGGAGGATATCTGGGGGCAGCAGCTGCACCAAAGCACAGCACGTTAAGGCGGGCATATCTTGTGGAGCCGCTTTAGGGATACAGATAATCCCCCGGTAGAAATGCCAAACGGCAGCATCAAAGGCCGCTTGGTCCGCTTTGCAAAGGCTGGGCCAAGATCCAGCGCCCAGAGTGAGGCGGCTGAGCACCGTTGCCTCAAGTACAACCGCCTTGCGTCGTATTTGAATGCCACGGTTTTTGAATATTTTCCGCCTGGCCTCATGATAAGCTGCTTTGGCAGACGCAATCCTATGGCGCAGCTCCAAGCGTATGGACCCTCCTGGGGCCTGGACCGCCCCCAAGTGCTTGTAGTGACCCACAAGAGGCAGGGTTACGGGTGCCGCGTGCTCGCGCACGACCGCCATGGTGCCTTTGAGCCCAGTGCCTCCAAAAAAGAGCCTTCCGGATTGCTCGGGAACCTGGCCCACATATGGACGCCAGGGCTGCGGTCTTTGCAGCCCCGTATGAGAGCCGAAGGCCATGCTCTGCACAGGCATCAGCCAATGACCCTGCTTCGACAGCAATAGCAGCGCGGGTTGCATTATTGCGGATGGTCCATCGCGGGACAGCGATGTCGTCTGCCCACACGATTTCCTCGACGGTGATGTCGGCAGCCCCCGACTCACAGGGCTTCAACGAACGCACACCATCCCAAGGAACACGTGGGGCTTCTGCAGCCGGCGCCGACGTAGCACGGAGCGTGTCCCGGGCTTGCAGCACCTTCGGGAGGAGGAGGGCGAAGACAATATCCGCAAAAGAGGAACCTGGCCTCGAGCCTCGCGCCGTAGCTATAGGAGTAGTATCTCCGCGCATCACGAACCAGTTGCTCGTAGAAAGGGCACCTGTAATGGCTTCAAGCCAAGGGTCGGCACCCGCAAGTTTCATAGCCGAGGGCTGGCTGAGGCGGTGCTGTAGGGTTGCCACATCTTCTGGTGCAATGTGTAGCTCCGCTGTGATACGCTGGAGGAGGTTGCTGTCGATATCGCCCTCCGTGTTCGCCACTAGCTGCGTAACAGTACAGTAGAAAGCGGAGGCAATGTCAGCGAAAAGAACAAAGCTTGTAACACCTTTGCTTACAGCCAATGCCGTAACTTCCCTGAGCAAATGCGACCCAAAAGTAATGCTGGCGCCAGCTCTACCTCCTAACTGCAACCTTGGCGCCGTGCCTTGGAACAACGACTTGAGTGGAGGCCTGAGGCTTTGGTGACACGCTTTCGCCAGACTGGAAAGTAGCAGGATGGACCGATAAGAAGAACAATCGTTGAAAGGTCCTTTATGTTTATACAGGCCGATGGATTGTCCCCCTTTCCATCCTACGGCTTCGCATCCACGCCACATCTGTTTCATCAAGACCGGATACAGGACGCGAGCCAGATCCACCGCGAAGTGGCGACAGAGTTCCGCAGGTATGGAGTCCAAACCGGGAGCCTTGCCGGTTTTCGTCGCGGCCAATACCTGCTGCAACGTCGCTAGGGATGGAACCCCGGCGGTATCCGCAGGATGCGGCCAGTGAGAGCTTCGGTCAGGATGGCCCATTTCCTGAGTCTCATCGACGAGGGCTTGGAAGCTGGAATCACGTCCCCCTTCAAGGGAACCGAAATGTTCCCTCCAACGGCGACTCACGTCAGCCTCATCCTCGCACTGGGTGCCATCTGCCTTGTTGAGCATTGGCAGTGGCTCCAGTTGGAAGGGTTTTTTCCGCTTGTGCACTAGCAGCTTATGGTAGCACTGATAGACTTGTTGGCTGGGCCCTTCAGAGAATTGGATGGCAAGCTGTTCCACGTACGCATCCCTGTCTCGCTTGCACGCAGCACGAAGTGCAAAACCGAGGGTACGCAGTTGGGCAGTCTGGATGGCAAACATAATTTCCATCTGCCATACCCAGGGATTGGACATGAAGATGGCCTCGAAAGTATCTATACGATGCCTCCAAACATGGAGGCAGACCAGCATCCTGTGGGTGCGCAACACATGTTGTCTCACATGAATCCCTCTGCGAAGTCGGGCGACTTGGCGCTGAAGGACCCAGGTGGCTTCTTGAATATAAACATGCTTGGGGCGCCTGGGCTGCTCAGCAGTAAGCTTGCTAAGGCCTGTCTGCAAGTGACTGGTGAGCAAGGCCACGTGCGCATGGACCGACACATCCCATGGAATGTGTGGGGCAGATCGGAGTAAGTCGAGGACTCGTCCACGGTTCGCCTCATCGGCGACGTCACTTGCTTTGATGCGCCGCGAGGCTCCAGGTGGTTTGTTGACAGCAGTGGTGAAGGAAAGGGAGGCATCGACCACCGCGGCGATATGGTCTTGGCAAACATGTGCTGCGTGGATGTCCGGGTTCGTGAAGGAACTGACCCGTCCTTTGGCCCAAGTCGACGGGAGCAGAATCAAATCAGGCCTGCAGAGACGGCCGTTTTTCTTCTGATGGTATGTGTGGGTTGGGCCTTGGTGGTGGCTATCAAAGGTGGCGGGAGCCCACAAGTCAAAGCGGCTCGCCAAGGTACGCACTTGGCTTCCAGCAGCGTCTTCTATCTCAGCTGCATGCCCGCCAATAGCATCGGAGGCTTCAGATCCTACTGCTGCATTGCAGTCACCTCGCCTGCCTACCTCCCTATCTGCCTACCTACCTATCCGCCTACCTACATATCTATCCTTCCTTCCATCTATATCTAGCTATCTATCTATCCCTATCTCTCCATCTCTCTCTATCTCTCTATCTCTCTCCATCTCTCTCTATCTCTCTATCTCTCTATCTCTCTATCTCTCTATCTCTCTATCTATCCATCTATCCATCTACCTATCTATCTAACCATCTATCTACATAGAGCACGTGTATATATAGATATATACACA